TAACTGGTAAATTAAAGACCTATATTTTTAATCTGGCTTTTACTTTATAGTAATTTTATAGCCTTAGTTTTTAGGTTTTAATCATTGGTTTTTCATTATTTGTCTCCATGGGGGTATTTTTATATCGACTTTAATTTTTCTGATGTTTTATATTTTGTTATTTTCAGTATATTCATTTTTCAGCCATGCAATTTTTTATTTATTGTTCTTCATGTTTTCATGTTTTTTTACAGTTTGTTATGGGAAGCACTTTGGGTGAAAGGTGCTTAACTAAACCCTACACACTGGCCCTTTAACTCGAACCCAGATGTTCCCTTAATCTTTTCAAAGTACTTATTTTAACACGAACAATGATCATTCCTTAAACCTATCTGGGGCTTTTTTTTGTGCCTAAACCTAACCACTTAACCTTAGTGCTGTCACTTCATAAAACAAATTTATCTTTCACCAGTGATTGGGGTGTCGGATCAGAAAACCCTTCTAGGGGTCATGGACAAACAGTGTCTTGTTGCGTAATAAAAAGCCGATTGAGAAGGTAGGTTGTCAGGACAAAGTTAAAACTGGCAAACACACTGGTCCTTTGATTTGATCAAAAAATATCAATTCAATTTATTTATTTACTTGCCAGAATGTCAGTCTGCTTACCTTTTACTTTGCCACTAAATCATGACTCAGACGAAACACGACCCTGACCTTTGCACTTGTGATTTGTGGTTGCTTGTCATTTGTGGCGACACACAAGACAAAATTGAAGTGTATTTTCCTTCACTGTAAATCACTGGGGATCACAGTGTCATCATCACCTGTGCTAGAAACAGTAATGCAGCCTGCTGTAATGCAGCCTCATGGTTTTTGGAGTGTTGATGTCAGTCACACTCATGCTTGGTCTGTACCATTTGTATACGACTGTGTATAGGGTACTAATGAGGGAGGAGGAGGAGGAGGAGAGGGGTGGATGTGGAATTGGTGGGATACAGCTGGACGGAGTGGGAGACTGTGGTGAATAGGTAACCATGGTAACTCTGTTGGCTAAGATTTGAATGCAGAGAGAGAGGGAGAGAGAGAGAGAGAGAGAGAGAGAGCAAAAGGGGGAAAGGAAGCTGCAGTGTGTTTGTGTGCAGTGGAAGGAGAATGAGGTGGGGGGGTGGGGGGTTAAGGTTAATATGCATCATTGTAGCAGGTTAATCTTTCATCAAACTGCGAGGTCAATGCAACGTTTACCCCCGCCACTGGACGCTACAGTGCGCCGCACAGGGGGGAGGTGGAGGTTCATGAAAGAAGTAGTAGTAGGGAGGAAGGACGTGTAAGGCAGCTGGGAGAGGAGAGGAGAGGAGCAGGAGGAGGAGGAGGAGGAGGGAGGGGGCTGAATGAGTTCGCAGAAGAGTTCGCAGAGAGGAAGAGAGTGTTCCTGCTTTTATAGAAAGCGATGGGAGATAGGTATAGATATCAGGAGAGATAGAGAGAGGAAGAAGAGAGTGAGGATAAGGAGGGAGAGTTACAGGTAGAGACTAACATGTGGATAGTGACAGCAGTGAGGCAGAATACAATCAACCAGCCTCTAACCAGCTGTCAGCTCCAACTAGTCTCAGTCTCCTCTATGGACTGCCCCCCCCCCATCTGAGCTACCATCTTAACCTCAGCCTCAGCCTCCACCATCTCTCTCTTTCTCTCCCTCTCTTTTTTTTTTTGCACCTTTTCGACTCTGCTCAGATGCTGTCTACCTGAAATAGCTCTGGCACTTAGTTCTCGCTGGCAAGAAAAAAAAAAAGGTGGCTGGAAATTAAAATACATAAAAAGGTGAGAGTCGATCCAAAAATAACACTTGAGTGCCTCTTTATCCGTCGGCGCCACCGCCGCTGTGTCAGGATACAGATGAGGAGCAGTTGCAGGGCAGCACTAGCAGCTGTCCCCGATGACTGTTGCATCGTTGCCTGGCGCTGCAGTTGCAGTTGTTGCAGTTGCGGTTGCCGTCTCACTACCTCTGGTGTCCTGCTCTGTCTGACCAGAGATGCTGCTGCCGATATGATTTATCATAGTGTCCTTGTGTGTGTTTTAATGTCATTGAACTACTGCATACGCGTTATTGATCAATCTCACCCCCACCCATCCAACCCCACCCCTCCTCCCTCTCCCTCTCTCTCTCTGCATCTCCACCTGTTTCATATTCATCCCTCTGTATTGTCTTTTGCCTCCACCTCTCCGTCGCTCTCTGTTTTATATGCGTCTCTGTGTTGTCATTCCCCTCCCTCCATCTCTGTCTGTTTTATATTCATCTCTCTATTGAGCCTCCCTCCCTTCTCCCGTCTTTCTCTCTCACTCTCTCTCACTGAGCAAGAGATTATTAATATTAATGTGTCTCTTCTTCTCTCCCTCCCTATTTTCCCTCTTACACTTTTTTATCTTTCTTTTACTACTGATCTCTTTTCTGCTCTTCCCACTATTTATACCTCTCTCTGGGTCTTTATCCCTCATCATTCCTTTCACTCAACCTTCCTTCCATCTGTCTCCATCTCTATCTCTTTCTTTCTCTCTCTCTTTCTCCAGCCCTCTATCTGCAGCTGTTCAGTATTCATCTATTACTGTAGTGTTGATAATTCCCTTCTCTGCCTGCAGCCATACAGTCATCTATCAGATTAATAATCCTTCTCTCCTTCTCATTCTCTGTCTCCCTCTCTTCCCCCCATCTCCTTTCTTACTGTGCCAAGTGAGGATGCTCAGCGTGTCAAATGAGTTTGCGTGTCAAAGTCCCATCATTACAACCATCATCATTAATAACCGTATCTAGATTGCTAGATGCCCTTATTAAGGTTATTCAGGTCTAAATAACCTGCAGAGGGGACGAGAGGCTCTCTGCCTCTCAGGCTGGTGGAGCCTGACTTGAGCTGGCCATCTATTAGTGTTAATGTAGACTGCACCATTCGCTACCATTCTCCAGCCCCTAGAGCATGCAATGCTGTGCTCGTACAGGAATGGAATTAACATTTTAGTCCCACAACCGCGTCTATGCTACTGCAAAAAAAGTGGTGCTGCTTGCTGGGTTCGGTCTCTTATTGTTTTCAAGGTTTGAGACTTGCTTTGATAAGAGTTTACTTAAGGGTGCTGAGGATAGCTTGTTCAAACATCAGTATATCATTGTCATGTTAATTGTTATACCTTGGTATAATTAGTGTTAACAAATGAGACCATTGCTGGAAGCAGCTATCTCACACCAGTGGTGTTATTAATGGTTCTCAAAATTAAGACCACCTGTCCCATAAACCCTGTTGCTTCCTCTCACAGAGTAGACGCTGCTCCCCCCCCTTTTTTTTTTTACTGACTACCAGACAAATCTTAGCTTAATTTACATTGTTCACACTTTGTAAATAGGGAATTACAGTTGTAGTTTTAAATCCCAAAAGTATTGGAGTCATAGATTCCCCCTCCAGATTTCTAGTTTCTGATTAATCCAGGTTTTGCTCTACTTCTAAGTTGTACCTATTAATATTACAATCTTTTGAATGGTTTATATTGATTGCATGTGGAGATTAAGTATGTTATATTAATATAACAATTATATACATTATCAGTCTACTGTACATAAGTCTCACTTTATTTATCTTTTAAAAACCAAAATAGTGCTGAAATGATTAGCTAATTATTCTACAGAAATTTTGTCTATTAGTATTTTGATAATGAATGAATCAGTTAAGTCAGAAAATATTAAAATAATACATGTCAAAGCTTCACAAATTTCTTTCATATCATGAAAATGAACTTTTCAATAAATTAACTTCTGCTGGGCAAATGTCATTATTTTTAGACATTTTGCTGACATTTGGATCCAGCTAATGAAAATCAGCTCCCGCTCGCTGTCAACATCTATAGTAAATTTGTTGAATAGCTATGTTAGTATGTAGCTATTTGTTAAAGTTAATAAAGTTGTGCCCACTTGAATTGAATTTTTGTTACTTGGACTGATCACTAACGCAGGTATGCAAGGATCACTTTTCCTGTAGTCATTTAGCAGGATCTATTGGCAGGAATGTAATATAATATTCATTGGTATTGGTTTTCTTTAGTGTATAATCACCTGAAAATAAGAATTGTTGTGTTTTACCTTATGAATAAGCCGTTATTATTAACAGGGGAAGACAAAGTCCGCCATGTTGAGCAGTCTTGTTTGCACAAGTTGGCTCTACATAGGGCCTATCAAGTTTTTTGCAAGTTTTGCCGCCACCATAGTTTCTCCTACATGCTTGGAAGGCTGAGCTTTAGTCAGCTGGTTCCAATCTGCAACTTCACCGCTGCCACTAAATCCTACACACTGGTCCTAATCAAAAAAGTTTTTGATTAAAAGAAAGTAATAAAAAGACAGAAAGATAATTCCAACACTTTCAGCCCTAAACCAATTAGAAAATTCCCATTGAAAATCTGCCTTGGGATCCTAGAGTGGGACCTAAATGCAGCTATTTATTATCATTTCTGAGTTGGTCTACAAAAACACATCATTGCTTGACTGTTTCAGCCTGACTGCGTGTGATGGTGCTCATTTGTTTACAGTTAAACCATTTTTTAAAAATTGTGTCTTTCTGATTTATTCATGTTTACATGCTAAATGCAGCGCTGTAAGGACAGAAATACCTTGTTGTCATACTTCTGATTGCGTGTTTTTATATTTCTGTATCACCTCCTTGAACTGTTAATTACAGAAATCGGCTTCCACCTGCCCTCGCTGTAAGGATTTTATTTCTGACAAAATGTCTGCTCAGGGATTATGTGGGATTTGATATGAGCAGTGACACAGAAGTTCTAATGCTTCTCAAAGATTTTTTGACAATCCCTCCCATGATAAGCTATACTGTAGATGTCTACCTATTATTTGTTCTATTCATTCTCTGTTGGTGAAAACACAAAGCGCAGTCTGTGTTCTGTCTTTAATATCTGCTCTCTCTCTCTCTCTCTCTCTCTCTCTCTCTCTCTCTCTCCCCCTCTTTGTCTCTCTCTCTTTTGTTCTTCCACAGTAACTCCTGGGTTCTTCTCACTTCACAAAAAGCCTCACTCAAATCCCCAGACAACACGAGAAAAAAAGGGAATAACATCTGTTTATCTGCATATTTCTATGTTCAAAAAACAAGAGGAAAAAACACAGAGATCGACAGAGGACAAAAAACATCTCAGAGGATGCAGAATTAGAAAGAACAAATTGCCACTGGAGGACCAAAAGGAAAATAAACCTTTTCTCGCAAATCCACCAGTGTGGAGTCACCTCACCTGTACCTTCGGATTAAAGAGCAGGGTCATGTCCCAGTTGCCATGCGCATCGCCACGCTGACCTGCCTTCCCGGCCCTTCCCCCTTCCTCTTTCTAGTGGCCCAGCTGCTACTGCGGCTCCTCCTCCCTGGGCCGGAGTTGGTGGGAGCCGCCTCCTCCTGCCCCTCCCTCTGCACCTGCTCCAACCAGGCCAGCCGAGTCATCTGCACCAGGCAAAATCTGGAGGAGGTGCCCGAGAGCATATCAGTCAACACACGATACCTCAACCTGCAGGAGAACTCGATACAGGTAAATATTGGCTGGAGGAAGTTGCTTGTCAGGTCAAATCATGTCATGTCAATGTTGATTTGTGTTGTGCATTTTATACAGGATGCTCTGCATGAGAATACATATCACATGACCAAAAGTTTTGTAAATTCAAATCACAGAGACACGTAAATCTATCTTTTAGGTCCAGAAAATAAACAGATTCTTCTTATTTATTGTTGTAAGTCGCAAACAGGTGATGGTTGTTATTCAGGATGACCGACGGAGTTCATCATGGTTTATTGTAGTCAATAAATGACTACAGAAAAAGCACGAATTTTATCATTTTAAACATGTCAGTGTGTATAGTTTCCACTGTTTCTTTTCGGCACATAGCCTATTGATGGATCTTAATACAGTTATTGATTGCATTTATTATAATTGTTGCTATTTATATAGTTATTGATGGAAGCAAAACAATCCTGTATAGTAGATTCAAAGAGCACACACACACAGTCTCTTTAATATATTGTCTTATTTGTCTTTTTTGCCCATAATCAGAGGGAACATTTGCTTTTGCAGCCAGTTGCGGATGTTAGGATTAACTTGTTGATACAGGTTTTCCCTTAGAAACTTCTTAGAAAAGGGAGAAACGTAAGCGGCAATAATGGTAGAAAAAAGGCACTTAAGCCTCTGCTGAACTGAGGGAATATTTTATGAATTGAAAGCAAGGCATATTTCCATGACACCGTGCTGCCTTTTGTATGCATTACCAATTTATCTAGAGTCCCTAGACAGCGTTTTGTGGCTTTACAGCTGCAAGGGAAGATCATTTAACCACAGACCATCGATACAAAGCACATGAATCTCTACATTTATAAACAGAGTGGGTTGATTTTACTCTTTGCAGCAGCATTTGAAGTAATTGGATCCCTCCTCATGTTGCTGACAGTGCTTTGTTCTTTTGTGATTTTAAATTCATTTCCTTCATATGTTATCTCCTCTAATGAAAAGCAACGAGTATCCTAAACATTGTTAAAATGGTGCAGTGCATATCTTATCATGTCAAACTGCTCTGTACGTCGGACAGAGCGTCCTCATATCCTCTATTCCTCGGAGAAAACATCTTATTAAACATTATGTGACGTTAACGGAGCATAAATGGGACATCATGCGACATGATTTGGTATGTGGGATTTTAGGGGGATGCAGTTCACATGAAAGACAAATTAAGGAAATAAAAACAATGTTCGTTGCATTTCGTTTTTAGCCTACAAATTCCGATTCGGTTTGTTGTATCCTGCAGCCCCACTTGAAATGATTAAAAATCTAAAAATGTTTTAACACCTGAAGGCATCCTAGATTCTGGCTTATTTTTTCCTTCACTGAGTACCCTGAGAGTAAAGCCTTGACAGCTCCCACCCCCTCTTAACATCCACACCCCTCCCTATCTCTCCCCCCCTTTGCCTCCCCCCTTTGCCTCCCCCCCAACTCCTGCTCTACATACAGAAGAGGCAATGGCCTGACTCCAGGAGTCTCACAGAGGGCTTTGGCCACACATATCTCAAACAATCAGAGATTTAAGGGGCTTTTAGTCGCGCTGACTCGCTGTGTGTCTTTGACTTCTGGCCAAACGATCGTCAGTTGGACTGCACCGATGCTAGCGCGTGCTGTCCAGGCCCCGTGGCACCCATGTATTTCAGAATCATGACTTCCTACAGAAAAACTCTTTTGGCTGTTAATTTTAAAAATGTATCAATTTACTGTCATAGTTTTATCTTCCATGGTGATTTGTGACACACATGTGGATAGTCCAATGCTTATAATCAGCTTATTATCAAGGGATTATAGTGTGTCAGTAGAAAGTCCCCAGAGTCTCACTGAAACAACAGTGTGAAAAGCACTTCAGCGTCTGGAACAGGCACTGAAATAAGGTCAGGGTTAGATATAGGACTGGGTTTACAGTAGGTTTACCCTAGTGCCTTAACCTTAAAGGTGTAACGTAAACTCAAGCGTTAAACACCTGCGATTTGCCTCATGATAGTTGCATTTGATGACAAAGTGTGCATAATTTCTTTGCTTTTCACTATCAGTGCCCCACAAGTTGTGCTGCTCCATGGTACCATGCTCATAAAGTAGAATGGATGAAGTTCTCTTACATCTTATTTTGATCACTTGGTGTTTTTTGTACCTCTTCACCCCCTTTTTTTGGCAGTTAAACTAAATCTGAAATAAGGGAATAACGAAACAAGACAACTGTATAGCTGTGGGTTAAGGTTAGGGATTTTGGTTTTACCTTACTTACAACTATTATTTTCAACCTTTTTAGAGGATCAGTGCACTCAGTATAACTCTGCCCATAAATAACATGAAAGCACTAACATGGAGGCCAGGGTGGCCTGTGGAGCCACAACAGAGGCAACACCAGGCTTGTAGCTGCCATTAAGGACACTGACATCATATCCTTCTTATTTTTTCTATAAGAAGTCTTTTTGATTTTGTAAGTGTATACATGTATTGTTTATATTGTTTATTGGATGACACAAATCAATATAGAATGGCAATAATAAGGAGGGGTGCTCCAGTTGTAAAGTCTAGCAAAAGTTGTCAGTGCTATGAATAATAGGCCTGACTAGAACCTTCCAAAGTTTGTATTCCACCTGACCTACAGCTTAAAAACAAGTAACTATGAGTTGCACCCTTATATATACTGTCAGTGGTTGCACCACAGCTACTTTGCATTCAAGATCTGAGCTCACAAACTATTAACCTACATGCTTTCAAAACGTAACATGTCTAAACTTTTGTGCACAGAATCAATTAAAAGTATCTGCAAAAATATTCACCATGGGAAATTAATACATTAGTGAATAGATTATAATGAAGTTACACTGCACTTAAACAATTAGCCCGCCTTGCTACAGTCACACATGTGTCAGAATTTTTGTCTACAGGAAAGGAAATGAGACACAGATAGATAGTTGTGTTTTCAGTGAATATTCATTGATTCATGCTAATTCATTAATGAATAATTTGAAATACCTCTTATTTTATTGCAAATAAGAATTACACTTACAGTATTTTATTTCGTATTCTAAATGTGTTATGTGCTTGTGCGATAGTATATATTTAATTTAAAGACATATTAGGCCTATGTATCTTTTCAACTCCGTTTGTAATTTTATAAAACTTCCTTGAATCTGTGGAACATGTTAGTAATTTTCTTCTGCAAAGACAAAACAAATTTCATCAAAGTGTTATTTTCCTGATTAAACATTTTCCAGCAACATTTTTTTTCCATGCCATTTTAGTGGGTGTAGCAACAATAAGCAGCAATAGGAACTGAACTGAAAAGAGCAATTTCAAAATTGGCCATATTTTTTACTTGTTGGCACCTACATTATTTCCTAAGAAATTATTGCTCTAATTATGCATTAAAATGCATAGATCTATACTATGGTCTTCAAAATTTTCTCAGGGGGCCACACTCCCAAACACCCCATGCTGAGCTAAGACTAATGACCTCAGTATTTCTAAAATCCTGGCTATTGCCCTGAGACACTGGCTCGTGTCGCTGTCAGTAGTCAGTGGGAGTCTGAAAAGCCCACCTGGCGCTGCAAAAAGCAGCAATAGTCACTGAATGGGTCAGCTGTTACGGTTATGAGCAGATAAATTAATTATTTATATTTGTATGGTTTGTTTATTTTAAGAAATGTGTTTAACCATATTTATGCCTTTGAATCATTCATTAACAGTGTTTTGGGGTTTTTTTTGTGATTTTTAATGTTTTCCACATCCATACCACCTCACCTCTATATTCAAAGCATAATATGCCAGTATCAGAGCTGCATGTCTGTTATATGTGGTTATGTGTCATTTAATATTCTATAAAAAGTTGAAAATCAACATCAAGCTTATACTGTAGTGAACATTAAAATTAATAACACAACAGATAAATTAATATTGTATTTAAAACACAAACGGAAACAAGAGCTAACTTCACAAGGTACATAGTTCATTCAAAATAGTGAAAGTTGTGTCACCTTGAGTTTGTGTTTAGTGCACTTTTTCATTTCATCCAATACCTTCCACTGACAAATGTAACCACGTAAATGTTAGTAACAAACACTACATTAATTATTCTACATGTTGTACAGTAACCTTATCTGTCCCTCCAGGTTATCAAGTCAGACACTTTCAAGCACTTGAGGCACCTTGAGATCCTCCAGCTGTCCAAGAATCAGATCCGTCAGATTGAAGTCGGAGCATTCAATGGCCTCCCCAACCTCAACACACTGGAGCTCTTCGACAACCGCCTCACACTGGTGCCATCACATGCCTTTGAGTACCTCAGCAAGCTGCGAGAGCTGTGGCTGCGCAACAACCCCATTGAGACTCTGCCCGGCTATGCCTTCCACCGTGTGCCCTCGCTACGTCGCCTGGACCTGGGTGAGCTCAAGAAGTTGGATTTCATCTCTGACGCAGCCTTTGTCGGCCTCATCAATCTACGATACCTGAACCTGGGCATGTGTGGGCTGAAGGACATTCCCAAACTGACAGCCCTTGTGCGTTTGGAGGAACTGGAACTGTCAGGAAACCGGCTGGAGATAATCCGACCCGGTTCCTTCCAGGGCCTGGTGTCTCTACGCAAGCTGTGGCTCATGCACTCACAGGTGTCCGTCATTGAGCGCAACGCCTTCGATGACCTGAAAAACCTGGAAGAGCTCAACCTGTCCCATAATTCCCTGCACTCCTTGCCCCATGACCTCTTCACGCCCCTTCACCAGCTGGAGAGGGTACACCTTAACCACAACCCCTGGATCTGCAACTGTGATGTTCTTTGGCTTAGTTGGTGGTTGAAAGAGACGGTGCCCAGCAACACCACCTGCTGTGCCCGTTGCCATGCTCCCCCATTCTTAAAGGGCAAGTACATTGGAGAGCTTGACCAGAGCCACTTCACTTGCTATGCGCCTGTCATTGTGGAGCCACCTACAGACCTCAATGTCACTGAGGGTATGGCTGCTGAGCTCAAGTGTCGCACAAGCACTTCCACAACATCTGTCAACTGGATCACCCCTAATGGCACTTTAATGACCCATGGCTCTTACCGGGTGCGGATATCCGTCCTGCATGATGGCACACTCAACTTCACAAATGTCACTCTGCGAGACACGGGCCAGTACACCTGTATGGTCACCAATGCTGCTGGCAATACCACAGCAACTGCTGTCCTCAATGTCACTGCTGCTGATGCTAGTGTCAATTACACCTACTTTACAACAGTCACCGTTGAAACAGTGGAGACCACAGGAGATGAAGACTCTGCATTGGTAGACATCAATGAGACTGTCATTCGTGTTCATCCTGGCCCCACTCCCTCAGGCCACCTGTGGCCAGAAGGTGTTTCTACCACAGCCTCATCTCTGTCAGCCGGCTGGTCCTCCTCCTCTCCTCGTACCACGCGACCCACCTTCACTGTGCCCATCACGGAACCGGGCTTCTCAGGCCTGGATGATGTGATGAAGACCACCAAGATCATCATTGGCTGCTTCGTAGCCATTACCTTTATGGCAGCGGTGATGCTGGTGGTGTTCTACAAGCTGAGGAAGCAGCACCAGCTGCATAAGCACCACGGTCCTGCTCGTGCCATCGAGATCATCAATGTGGAGGATGAGCTGGGAGCCGGGGCCAGTGGTCGAGGCAGTGGCATCTCAGGAGGCTCCACCATGACGCAGGGTGGAAGCAGTGGAATAGGAGGGGGTCAGAGCCTCAGGCTGCACCACCCAGAGATAGTCAATCTGCCGAACCTGGCCCGATCGGAGCACCTCAACCACTACTACAAAACCCATCACTTCAACAACAACATGATGGGCCTGGGAATGGGCACAGGTTCTGGTGTTGGCCTCAACAACAACAACAACCCCTCACCTTGCTCTCAGTCTCAGAACACATCCATTTCTTGCTCCCAAGTTCCAACTTCCACCAGTGGAGGAACACCCACAGGTGGCACCTTGCCCTCTCCTGTGCCCCTGCCCCAGTTGGGTCTCCACAGTTCTCTGAAAGGCCTTATGGGGAAAAGCCAGAATGAGCCCCTGCTTTTTAAGAGCGGATCCAAGGAAAATGTGCAAGAGACTCAAATTTGAGTAAAAGTGAAATTAGAAGTAAGACGTAAGGAAGATGAGATTCTGGATAGAGACAGTGAGACAGAAAGAGCCTGTGAGACCGAGTATATGAGACTGATTGTAGCCTACTGTCCACATGGACAGATTCCAGAAAAGATTATATTTCACATAGTTGCTGCTTTGTGTTGTCAATCTGTTGACAGAGAGAAGCAGATAGGAAAACTAAAGGAGACAGAGTACGAAATCTGATCAGCACTAGTCCCACCATTACCATCTGCACATTCTTTTAAACTAGATCAGACACAGACATAAACGATGTAAACCACATACATCAGAATCATTCAGTTACCTGTGCATCTTGCCATAGTCTTTGCCAAAGTCCAAGATCAAGCCAACTCTTTTTATTTGCACCCACAATCACAGTGGAAAGCTATGAATAATACAAATGTGCAATGAGCTCTCTAGGTTTTATACAGATTGCTTCGTATATTTCCAGACACATTCAGTGTATATATTTGGAGGGAGACATAATATTGGCCATTGAACATGTTGTCAGATTAGTGTTTGGCAGAGATACTGAATAACAAACAATGGTTTGGGTGAGCAGTACTGTCCCAGGTTTCCAGGAAGCACTAAAACAAAAACAGAGGAGGCAAAATTAGAACAGTGCAGTGATTCTGTCCAGGACACACGTATCAGACTAGTACTAGAAAGACAGAACAACAGCAATCGTTTTTTCAGAGTGGTTTCACTCTCACTTTCTCACTTTTTTCCCTTTTACACCTTACTGGCTACTGTCTTCTCTGAAGGAGGAGAGAAACAGAGTGGTTTATCATGGGAGAAGAAAAATCCCAGGGCATAAAGGACAGTGAGAGATATAAAAAAGACTGAAAGTACATATTATATATACCGTAAATATATTTTCATTCAAAGAAATAAATTATAAAGAATCTTTATCAAGCTTCTGACTGAAAACTACAACGTCTGAAGAATATATATAAAAAAAAAAATACACACAGCTGTTGTAGTGGCCCTCCCTTACAACTTTTCCGAACTTATAACAAGATGGCCGCTCCGACTGTGCTGGATAAGGACAGATGTGGGAGAGTGGCATCCGTTGAAAGGGAGCTAAAACAAAAACCTGGCAAAGTGTTTGAGTGAATTTATTTTGGTCTTGACTTTTTTGTAGCCACACAAAGTGTTTTCCCTCTCCTGTCGCATTCATATAAACAGGGTCATTGGAGAAGGGAGATCTTTGCGCTCTACTGCGAAAATATGAAATACGACTACAGCTCTTCATCATTTGGTATGCAGTATAGCTACAGTATTAATAATAATGATCATAATGGTAATAATGATAACAAGCTTTGGCTTTATTTGTCATACTGGTCACTTAATGATTAACACATCAAATGATCAACAATATGTTACAATATGTTACTGTACATATTACTAAAACGTTGCACATGCTAGTTTAGCATGCTCTCTAAAAACAAATTCTATATTTGATCAACATTCGGTTTCAAAATGTAAGAGCTATCACAATGTTGATATGACATATTATTGTTGTTACGTTATCATTATTATCATTCATATGACTATTATTATTGCTACTTGTGCATACAAACAGCTGAAAAGTACTTTTTTTCATTTGTATATGACACTGAATTTGTTTTATGATCCTGTTGGACTTTGGCTAATGAACGGCAGTGGGACGGACTCAGCGTGCCACTAAGTGAACTCCACGTGTATCAGCAGGATATACCTTGGCCCTCAAAATGGCTTCCTCAGTGTAGCCCTCACTGACTCGCCTGCTCTGATGTCTCAAGCAGTCAGGACCCCTCATGTTATTACGCATTAAAGACAGGACATGAACCTCTGATGAAGACTGCTCCTTTGCAGGGGATTATTTCACAACTGTATCTCAGTGTTATCGTGTATGAGTGGATTTCATGGCAGCAGGGAGCTAAATGGACGACAGGCATTGCCAAGCATTTTTAAAGGTAAGCGAAGCTCGTTCAGTGAGGTAGAAGGTAACATACAGTACAGTATACAGTGGTGAGTGAATTTTTTTCTAAAGAAAAAGGACAATTAAATGAAAAAATATAGAACCTTATAGATCTCTTTTAAAAAAAACAAAATTATTATGATAAGTGTTTTTCATTTTGGGTTTTTATCTAGTTTGATTATTTTCAGTTTTTTTAAATCAAGTGTTATCTTTATTGTAATATTGTTATTGTTATTATAATTAGCTAATTACACTGGTTATAATTATGAGAGATGTTCTGTTAGCAGAGGTCACTTTGAAAATTAAAAAAACCTGGCACATAAAATGGCAGTTGAAGTCTGTGAAATTTGGTGGCTATTTTTCCCCCCCCTCTTTTTGTTATGATCAACTTTAATTGTAGTATCACTGTTTGTATCCCTTTGGCTCTGCTTGAGATGAGACATAGCGAATGTGAAATGGTCAGCACTGGGTCCTTTTTTTTCTGCACAGGGGGACAGGAAAGGCCCTGCTCTGGTTTACAAGCTCACTCATACTCGCTCTGTGCTTTCCTGAATGTCATCGCCATCACAGTGTTCAGAGAGTGATTGCGCTATGTCAACACCTCGTTGCCATGACTACACACTCACAAATGCGCCAAACGGCGTCACCATCGGCGCCTCGTAAGGCACCCTGTTGCCCCTTGTCAGTCACGTTCCTTTTAGGTGCCATATCTCGACGAGCCGGCCAGTGTTCCTTCAATGGTAGCAAATCAACCTGAGCATTGTACCCATGTCCTCGCATAAAACGCCCCCTCCTCCCCCCCTACCCAGCCCTCAGCATCCTGCCATCAGGTTTCCCTGGCAACTGTTGCTGCTGCGACAGCCCTTATCACAGCGTCTTGATTTGGGTTTCGAATGCTAAACAGACGGGAGCAGACAGTATAGAATCTCATCCATGTGTGCTCGTACATCCATCTTTAAGACTTTTTCTTTGTTTTCTTGTTAATGTGTTTTGTTTGTTCACACGAGCAGCTATATTTCTTACACCACTGACTTTCTTTTAGTGAATCATGAGCTTTACATGATACTATCCCCTATGCATTTAATTTGCATAGGCTCCACACCATTGCTAAATTCATTTATGCACCCTACACTTGTGATTAACACTCATACCCTGCATCAGTCATTAACATATTCCTTTCCCAGCACAAGGGATCCATATTCCCCTCACAAGTTATTTACATATTCATCTGCCTCTGTGTGTGCAAATAACGGAGAAATTATCATGCGGGCATGCTTGTGGGTATGAGTGAACGGTGTGTGTGTGTGTCAGTTTTGTGTACATCAGTGGCTGAAAGCAAGGACTGTTACAAAAGCTATTTACCCCTAATTCCTCAGATACCGTGTGCCCTGCCTATCGCCTGTAGTAGCTCATCACTTTGGAAAGCATTGTGTAGCCCCTATAGCTCCTGTGAAGTAGCACAAACCAGAGGCCATGCTATTGAGGCTCTGTGTTAGAGAGAGCAGCGGTTGAGCTGGAGACACAAAGTCACAGTGCTGCAGTGTCTGAGTCACAGAGCACTGAACACACTCCCAACACTCTAATGGAAATGCTGTGTTTACTGTGCAGGAAGGGACCCGCTTGTTCACCCATTCAGGGAATAGGTGAAAAACACCAGAATATGGGTGTGTGTGTGTGTGTGTGTGTGTGTGTGTGTGTGTGTGTGTGTGTGTGGTGTGTGTGCGTGTGCGTGTGTGTGCGTGTGTGCAGGTCTGGATTATAAAATGCCTGTTGTACTGTTGTATAAGGCAAAGAAATCAGGACATTTGAAGCAGTACGCTGTTTATGGCAAAATGTGTTACACCATTGTTGATGCAATACTGCTCAGTGTGTGTGTGTGTGTGTGTGTGTGTGTGTGTGTGTGTGTGTGTGTGTGTGTGTGTGTGCACGTGTGTGTGCGTGTTCAGGTGGGCTTACGCTAGCTAGGTTGTGTAAGAAGAGGAAGAGGGAGGAGGGGCGGTCAGACCTCCATTTTAAATCCCCAGTTCAAACCAGCTCTGTCTGTCTCCCTCTGCTTCAGGCTACTTTTATGATCCTCTCACTGACACTTAAAGTAAAAACAGGATTTTTTTTTCTTCCGCTTAAGCAGCTCCCCCTTCCTCTCTCTCTCTCTCTCTCTCTCTCTCTGCTTGGGATAAACCCAACTGATGAAAGGTCTGTTCAATCAAGCCAACCTCTCCTTTCAACCGAACATCCTCAGCCTCTTTTTAGCTCTTTGTCAATCCGCCATAACAAGTTGAGGGTCGAGGGTCAAGGGTCAAGTCTAGTGGCGGCGTTTGTTTACCTCACATCTTCAGCCAGCTAATCAAGGTTAGCGTTCCCATTTTGGATTGTGCCATTTGTTTTTATTGTTTTGCCCTGGCTCAGCTATATGCGAGAGTAACACCTGTTGGTGAAGCTTAAGTGATTTTTAATGTGCATTTTCAGTGACTGTATTTATGGTTAATCGCCTTGACAGTGATGTGACTTTTACTCATAATCGTAACGATGCACATGAGATGATTTGGGCCTGCTCTCTTATGGTGGGTGAGGTTTGTGTTATCGCAGATAAGAGGGCAATCCAGGTTCAGTCTGCTGCTCATTGTGGCCGGCAGTGTTAGAAACGGTGGCCACACTTGCACCAGTCCCTGGGGGTGGTGTTGCACACATGTTAACCTTGGCGCTACAAGCCCTGAGTGAGCTCCACACTGCTTAATTTCTTTTCTGTCACCCCCCCTTTAAAAATAGCAGTGAAGCGACAGCAGAGCTCAATGCATTATTGATACACATGGTGTCAATGATGCATGTGCTTAGGCGCCAGTGCTAATTTTCTCCCCGTTGCAGAGGCCAAAAGCATCAAACCGCTGTAATTTATATGCATCGTTATTGCTATTATTTTTTCACACGGCCATCAAGACGGTCTGCGAGAGCCAAACGTTGCAGTTGTCTCCTCACATGATGGCTGCTGTGATTCTGTTAAGTGCAGCAGTGTTTTGTGTGCCACTGTGTCACAGAGGCCCCCCGCACCCCCCACCCCCCCACCCACCCAGCAGCAGCGGCAGCAGCAACAGCCCTGTCTCGCTGTGCTTCGCTGTGCCTCTGCTGTGGGATGTTTGGCAGTCAGGGGCTGGTTTCATCACCATCACGCTGGTCCAAGACCGATTTGATGGCACCAGTTTTTAAATGCCGGGGTCAATCTGTTCAGTCACGTTATGAGAGAATGAAGAGGGTTTTTTTTTTTTTTGTCACTGCAATGTTGCTCCTGCTGGAGCTTGAGATGTGATGTGCACAGACATTTTTCTGTGTCATCACTGTGAAAACCCTTCCCTGAAGCCACTTATCAACCCTTACTACACACAAGCATGTGCACATGTAAGAACCACGCACAGACACACAAACACACACACTCCGACACTGACTGACTGAGTGATTTATTGATTGAGGTGGGGCTTTCTTAAACAATTTGCAGCTGAGTGCAGCGGAGGTTAACACAAACCTCTCAACCGCTGCCATTGTGCTTCAGTTCACACGTGTTTGCTTTATATCCTGTGAAGGTGTCCTTAATTTGAGAATGGCCGAGACATTAGCACATGGCTTATTTCCTTGTTGCCTTGGTAACCGTGTCGTCGGTCACAAGATGTCCGTTTTGGGCGTCTTGCGATGAGCTGTGTGGAGTTGGAGGGGGCTTGTCAGTGTGTGTGGGCTGTGACGTGAGAGTGATGAGTGGTGTCTCATCCCAGATGACTATCTCCTCTGTGTCACTCAGCTGCGGGTCAGCGGGCCTGTGAGCTGCAGCTCAGAGGAAAACTGAGAAAAATCCACACAGTCACTGAAATAGTAAAATGGGACACGCTCACAGCCCATGTAATTGTAAAGTACCGATTAATGGGAATAGTAAAGCCGGAGCACTGCTTAACACAGAGCTTCTCATGAATGCTTTATAAAGGAGGATATCAGTGTCGTCATGTGAAAACCTTGTAACTCCAATTTTGAACATCAGTGGAGTGATTACAGTTTTCTATTTGCACTGAGAAAACTCTACAGCCCTTGGTGCTGGCGAAACCCTTTCAGAACTCCATGGGGTAAACTAAAAAAAAAAAAAAGTGCAGCACGGCAAGTTCAAAAGAGGGCTGTTTTTCTTAGATCCTGAAAAGCTGACATTTGGGGCGATGCAGACTGCGACCATATTGCGCTTTCAATTACAGATTCGTGTTTTGAGAACAATCTGGGATGTTGTGGCCCGTGTTGGGATTTGGAAACATTCTTCTGGAGCCACTTCATGCCCTGGAGCGCTGTGGAAAACTCCCCTCCAGTTTTGTGATGTGTGCAGACTCTGGGACTTGTGTTGGAATGTCCTGAACCATCCGTAACTATTAAAGGATGTGCTGACCCAGCAGCTGTGCTCCTCTCGGGGGACAGGCTCACAGTTAAGTTTCCAAACGCACATTCCCTCCTATACACAGCAGCCCGACTCCTAGATTTACTGTTTATGGGCACCTTGGCTCGGCATCATAATCACACTCTGCTGTGTCTGATGTTTGTTTGAAGCTGGGCAGGGGCCATAGAGTACATTTCAACGCTTTGAAGTGTAAATTCAGGTCTGGTTGGAGCACCGTATGGAGGGCAGTGAGGAGATAGCGACAGCCATATGGATATAAGCTGGTGGTTTGATAATGGAGCTGTCTAACCCTTATCTGTCTGCTGAGGTGGCAGAGCCCCAGGAAGGCGTGGGGTCAAACCCAGACCGGACATCAACAGCGAGGGTCACAAGTTGCTTGGGCTCCGAGAGGTGAAGCCAGAGCAGAAATCAGTCCTGACCTAGATAAGCCTCCCCAGCTGAGCTTTGAATCAGACCTGCTACATCCTCCCAGTGAAACAAGTTTTTTAAAAAATGCAGGGAACAGTTGTAAACAGTCATCAATATGAAATAAACTTTTACTGGAGATATTGATTTTTCTTTACACTTTTTTGTCTCCA